GTCAAGTAGTGAGCCAATTTAAAATCGTTAGTTTTGTATTGATTGTTGGTACCACCATACTAAGGATCTATGCATCAGAGGAGTGATAGTACTGCAATACTGTTCAACGGATCAGATGATCGCCGATATTTTTACCAAGCTGCTGGGACCTACGATGATCAAGCAGTTTGCGAACGCTTTGGGGCTTGTTGGATCGACCTCATAACCGGACGTACAGTACGTAATCGAGGAGGAGTGTTGGTGAAAATGCTGACGCACTGAACTGAAATAGCGGAACATTTTCACCTTTAGCATTAACTTCTTGTTCTTTTAATAAAAGGTTGAAGAAACGTTGCATAAAAGTCTTGTCTGATCCATCGACGCGGATATTCCTCTGGTTTGTTCGGTTGACTGACTATTTGGCCATTTCCTCCCGACAGTAAGTAGAGGAGAAGAATGCAGCACGGGCGAGAATGCTGCAACACCGCACGAGATTGAATGTGGAGCGATACAGACAAGCGCGGAACAGACAAAACTCGGTTTTCCAAACGAAGAAGCGTCAGCTGGAAGACCGAGATCGCGACGCGATGTAAAATCTGTACCGCGTAAACGACACACGGAAGTTCTACGAGAAGCTTAATAGTTCACGCAAAGGCTACGTGCCGCAAGCCGATATGTGCAAGGACTTGCACAGTAACCTTCTCACGAACGAGTGTGAGGTGATTGAAGGGTGGAAGCAGTACTATGACGAGCACCTCAATGGTGATGCAGCAGAAACGAAGGTGACGACAGGCTACCGGCCCCTGATCTTCAAGAAGTTGCGGAGGAGATCGGTCGGCTGAAGGACAACAAAGCAGCTGGTGTAGATCAACTACCAAGTGAGCTATTAAAATACGGTGGTGAAGCACTGGCTAGAGCGGTGCACTGGGTAATTGCCAAGATTTGAAAGGAGGAGATATTACCGGAGGAGTCTACAAAAAGGGCGACAAGTTGGATTGCTGCAACTACCGCACGATCGGTCGCTGAGCGCCGGCCACAAGGTACTCTCCCAAATTCTATGCCACCGCCTGTCACCATTTGCAAGAGAGTTCGTGGGGCAATACCAGGCGGGATTCATGGGTAGATTTTCGCGATTCGGCAGTTTCTGCAGAAATGCCGCGGATACAACATTGTATCCCACACATCATTTGTTCATCGATTTCAAATCCGTATACGACACAATCGATCGAGATCAGCTATGGCAGATTATACACGAGTACGGATTTCCGGATAAACTGACGCGATTGGTCAACGTGACGATCGATCGAGTGATGTGCGTTGTTCGAGTATCGGGGACACTCTCGAGTCCCTTTGAAACTCGAAATGGGTTACGGCAAGGTGATGGACTTTCGTGTCTGCTATTTAAAATCGCGTTAGAAGGTGTGATCGGAAGAGCTGGGATAGACACGAGTGGCACGATCTTCAGAAAGTTCATCCAGCTTCTTGGCTTCACCGATGACATCGACATCATGGCACGGAACTTTGAAAACATGGCGGAAACGTACATCAGGCCGAGTTCCAGGTGAAGCTGAAATCGAAGCCCGAGAAAGGATTCCATGGAAAGCAAACGGCTTTGATGGCGTGCATGAAATCCAAACTGGAGATAGAATACTGGATTTTGGATTAAGGAGCAGGACGGCACATGTGTAAATCCGAGCAAGCTTATCAACAAGAAAAAAGTCTCGGAGAGCATTTTTATGGCCAATTCAACCGACGTTCCTGTTCCGGCCGTCAGTAGCGTCAAACTGGATGCCGATGTGAAAAGTATGTGCAGTACTCAAGATATCGCTGATATTCTGTTCGTTCCAGACCTGCTCTCTGGTGAGCCGTATTTACAAGAAAGGGTACCGGATCAATTTCTTGAGGAACTTTTGCGATGTAGCCAGCGAGTCCACCGGTGAGATCATCGCGACCGATACGGAGGTGGATGGGCTATACAAGCTGAAGCAGTTCAAGCCAGCCAAGGCAACCCGGGGAGAATCTGGAGCTGTGGCATAGACGGTTCGGCGACCTGAATTTGGACAGTCTGCATCGAGTGTGCTGAAGGTAAGCACCACAAGCAACCGTTCAAGTCGGTGAGTAGGCGATCCACTGAATTGCTGGAGCTGGTCCATTCGGACCTATGCGGACCAATGGAAAGACATCGCTAGGAGGAAGCAAATATTTCATGACCTTCATAGACGATGCCAGCCGGATGACACACACTTACTTCCTGAAATCCAAAGCTGAGGCATTTGATGCGTTCGTGGAATCTCATGGAATCGTGGAAATCAAATCTATCAAGCGTTTGCGCACCGACAATGGAACCGAGTATATAGGAAATAAATTCGAGCAGTTCTTGAAGGTATGCGGCATCCGTCACGAGACCTCGGTTGCCTACAATCCGCAACAAAACAGACTTGCGGAAAGGATGAACCGGACGATCGAACAACGCGCCAGATGTTTGCTCTTCGATGCTGGATTGAACAAGCAGTTTTGGGCTGAAGCAACCTCAACGGCGATGTTCTTAAATCAAGACCAACAATTGAAATGGCCTTAACTCCATTTTGTAAACAAACCTTGTAAGGCCATTTTCTCGCGAACCGAAACCTTCATTCGCAAACCTAAACCACAATCGGGTAGAGGAGGATTTACCCTACCTGTTCATTATGTTGGTTTGCCTTTGCGGACTTCGGTTCGCGAGAAAATGGCCTTACAAGGTTTGTTTACAAAATGGAGTTAAGGCCATTTCAATTGTTGGTCTTGAAATAACAGATCGCCAACCAAAGGTAAGAAAATCACACCAATTGAAGAATTCACTGGAACGATGCCAGACGTTTCAAATCTACGAGTTTTCGGATCGAGGGCGATGGCGTATGTCCCAAAAGTTAATCGGAAGAAATGGGATCCGAAGTCGAGGCCGTGTATCCTGGTTGGGTATGCTGGCTGTTCCAAAGGATACCGAGTGTACGACCCAACAAGCATTCGAGAATCGTGATGTGATCATCCTGAGCGAAGCGAGGCAGATGAAGAGACAGACGCTGAAAGACGCCATCTCGAGTGTTGGCCTCCCACAATGATGAAGAAAACGATTCCGATGCAGTTGCATTGCAGCAGTGTAGTGCACTCCCTCCGCAATTAACTCGGAACGTTTTTCAACCTATCATGAGGCGCAGCGCGAGGGAGCGCAAAGTACCAGGCCTTCCTCGGAATCTTGCCCTTCCACAGGACCATCATGGCCAAGTGAGGCCAGCGACGTTCATCACTGCGCTCCCGTCACACGAAAAGGAAGAACATGTTGGACCGCAACACGATTCTGGGCATAGTGACTGGGAGCGCCCAGTCAGAGGCATGTGGAGCAATAATTCAATTAGCAATGGTATATTTCCGTCATCCTCTACTCCACAGATTGCTAGTGAATCGGAGACGCTTCAGCAGGCATTGGAACGACCGAACCGCGATGACTGGATCGGCGCAATGGAGGCCGAGCATCGGTCGTTGTGCGATAACGACACATGGGACCTTTTCGGTCTACCGGCGGGACGGAGAGCACTCAAAAATAAGTGGGTGTATGCGCTGAAGACGGGTCCGAATGGCTCCATCGAACGACATGATGTCCGACTGGTGATTAAAGGGTATTTCCAAGTCAAAGGCGAGGACTACGACGTAACGTATTCTCCGGTGGTATGGTATGCAACCGTGCGCTACCTCTTGGCAATGGCGGACAAATACGATCTGCTGGTGTGCCAAATGGATGCGGTGACTGGATTCTTGCAGTGTGAACTTCATGGAGAGGAGGTACCTGAAAGGTACAAAGGACTACAAGCTGGTGTATCGGGCCAACTGCGAGCAGAACTTTCAAGGATACAGCGATGCGGATTGGGCGAACGACGTCGAAACTCGGCGTTCCATTACCGGCTACTTGTTCCTGCAAAGTGGAGGTGCTATTTCTTGGAGCTCGAAGAGGCAGTCCACCGTAGCACTTTCCACCACCGAGACTGAATAGGAAGATTTCTCCCAACGCTTCCAAAACTCAACTTATAATATTCCCACATAAGCCTAGAGCTTCCTTTTTGAAACCTAGTAGTAGTCACATAGTCACTATGAACGGAGTTCCAATTTGTTGGTCAAGTCAAGTGAAATATCTTGGATTAGTAAGAACAAATGTCCAACAAAATCATCAATTGCACCGATTAGCTCCCTTTATATGTAGATTAGATTTAGTTTAATTTTTAATTTTAAGATGACAATTGTTATACTGACATGGAGGTATAGAAAATCTGTTTAAAATATTGAATTGCCAAACAAGGAACAATGTAAAAACACATAGATATGTATTATAAACATTAAAGTTGGTAAGTTACTGTAGTAGTTGGAGCACCTTTTAATCAAATCTAATGTAATTTAAATTTAAAACAAATTGAGCTAACAAAAAATTTCAACAAGTTTTAAATGTTTTAAACAATGACCTACCTAGGTAGGCGTTGGCCTGATTTGGATTTTTCAGATATAATCCAACATAGGACCTAGATTATTTAATACTCTAGTAACCTCAAGTCCGTGCTCTGTCACAATGTTTCATTGTGATTAATCAACACTCAGAGGAGTAAAATATCAAATTTAAGGTCAATTTGAAAGAAAGGGAACTTGGAGTGTAGAGCGCAATGCCCACTGGACGATTCTAAAGCCTGGACACACCTATTATTGATCAATAACCTTCATATAGTTTCAGCATTATCGACATTATAATCAAAAGATGAGTTGTAACGTATAATTACCATGCATAGAGATAAGTTAATGTACCAGAATCTGGACGGACACGAGCCTACCCAGGGAAGGACCCGGATACGACCACCCATGTGTGTCTAGAGTATCGCACGAGCCGACAAGTGCAACGGGAAGGACAGTAGGTGTATTGACTAGGGTCTTACCCCAACTTAGCGGTTGGCACAGCCTATACACTGAACAACTACAATTACACTTACAATTAAACAATGACCTACCTTGCCCGAAGCATCGCCGGCTTCGTTTTTATCGAAGAACAATTGCTTTTCCGGATCCTTCACCTCGTACTGGTATTGGTACTGTAATCCAGAAAGAGACATTTTAGCATATTTGATTCCGATATGAGCTTCTGTCACTTAATAAATGCAGTCCATATAAATCGCACAAAAGATCTGATAATCCATTTACCGCTTCATACTTATCGCCTCCTTGTGGCGCCGAGTACACAAAGTACGCGAATGAGATCACAATAAACAGTTGTCGTAACATTTTGTCCTATATCCACACGCACAAGCAACTAGCGAAAGAACTTTCAAAAATTTCCTTCTTATCCGTTATCACCAACTCCAACACTGCATCACGTTCGTTCTAATCACTTTGGAAGTTGCCACAGCCGTCCCGATCAGACACTAACTAACAAGTGAGACAACCTGGCTAGCCAAGTTCTGTATTTATACAACTCCCCTAATGGGGAGCGCGAGGATTCTGATTGAATTGAACTTTAGAAGATTCCTCTTCTGTTTTGGGGGTGCATCCAGCCACAGTCAGAGTCAGCCTTCTGCTGCCGTGCACAGCAGATCCGGCGGCGGCGGCGTGAGCCGAGCCTCTTTTTTTTCGCCAGAGATGTCACATACTGCTGCTGCTGTGGTTCGGCGCAACTACGATCGTGTGGAGAGGAACAAGAAGATGCATACAAATGTGGTTGCCTTCCGTGCACCCTTTGCGCCCAAGTTGGTTCATTTCGCGAAACATTTTTGCTGAACCCCATGAAATGCATGTTGCTCACAATCAGCTGGCAATCAAGTGATCAAGCCGAGGGTTTGGTTTTGGAATGCACCACCAAGGTAGAGTTTTCGGGCAAGGTCCCTTCGATCGGTGTACATTCTGGGCACGGAACTGGGTCAAAGATCTGTGCACCTAAATTTGCATACACCTGAGACAAGCATCATCTTCACGGGAGATCATAGAGATTCGTAGGAGTTGTCGTCGTGTCGTGCCTGCTGTAACATGAGTGGCAATCAGTAGTCAGGTTAGTCTCGTCACGAAACAACTTCGTGAAGGACGAACCGGCTGTTCTTTGTTCCCCTCAGTAATGAATGTCATTCCAAAGCTAGAAACTCATACTCCGTTTTTTGTACTTTCCCATCCCTAGCAAATGTACCAACGACTTGCCACCGGATCGGTTCCGATCGAGTCCTACCTGCACGAGCATTTGGCCGAGCACCTAAACTCGGAGATTGTACTGCAAACCATAACGGACCTGGGCAGTGCTATGGACTGGATCCGGTCGACCTTTCTCTACGTCCGGGCACTGGTTGCTCCCGCGTGCTACGGACTACCGCCAAACCTGGACAAGTCGCAGATCGAGCAGAAACTGGAAGGTTCGTGTGTTTGGTACGCTGTCAGTCACTCGTCAATCTATTTTTCCATTTTCAGAACTCTGTCTCGCCGAACTGAATGCCCTGGGGAAGTACTCCCTAATTGTGATGAACGCGAAAGATCAAGGTGCTGCAGCCGGTGGAATGACGATTAGTTCCACTCTCTATGGACGGTTGATGGCGCAGTACTGTTTGAACTTTCGCACCGTGAAACTACTGAGGAAGGTAAGTGGCGTGGAAATGTGGTTTCATTAGATGTTTTCCTTTTTGTCCTTATAACTTCCTAATTTGGCACTTCTAAGGTGCTTCTAATAGTAGTTAAATGTGAGTTACCATTGCAGCACATCGTAAGATTGTAAGAAAGATGATTTCTAGACAAACATTTCAAAGGGGCGGGAGAGCCAAAATTTAAACAAACATTTTTTTTAGCCACATTTATAGAGAGAACAGTTCCGCGTTACTTTTCAAATAGACCAATCTACATTGATCGATCCTCTCTTTCGTTAACAACTTTGCTCAAAAGGAGATCAACCACACATGGATGGGACGAAGAATGCACAAAATTGTATGTAGAAAAATCGGATGCTTTCAAAGTTTTTCGTAGACACAAAACCTCCACATATTTCGCGGAATATTCAAAGCTTGAGACAAAGCTGAAACAATTAGTCAAAGAAAAGAAACTCGGTTATTGGCGCAATATCATCGAGGGACTCTCACGAGAAACCTCCACCTTGTGGAGGGTGGCTCGCAACATGCGTAACCGCTCATCTTCAAATGAGAATACTCCAACCGATGGATATTCGATTTCGCTAAAAAGGTCTGTCCGGACTCAGTTCCAGCACAACACATTCTTCGAGAAGCGTCTCCGAGCGGCAGCTCTCTGGATAGACCATTCACAATTCTAAAATTCTCTATGGCTCTTCTTTCATCGAACAACTCCTCACCGGGAAGCGATATGATTAAATTCAATCTTCTGAAAAATCTCCCAGATATCGCTAAAAGACGCTTGCTAGACTTATTCAATTCTTTACGAGAAAACAACATTGTACCGCCTGAATGGAGACATATCAAAGTAAAAGCCATTCGAAAACCTGGCAAACCAGCGTCTGACCATAGCTCATACCTTCCGATTGCTATGCTTTCGTGCATTAGGAAATTGTTGGAGAAAATGATTCTTCGGAGACTCGATCAGTGGGTCGAAACAAATAACTTGCTTTAAAATAAACAGTTTGGGTTCCGCAAGAGCAAAAGAACAAACGATTGTCTAGCGCTGCTTTCCACAGATATTCAACTGGCCTTTGCACACAAGGAGCAATTGGCTTCAGTATTATTGGGGGCTTTTGATTCAATTTCCATTGAAATTCTGTCAGACAATCTGCCCAGATGTGGACTTTCTGGAATTTTAAATAATTTCTTGTACAATTTGTTGTCCGAAAAGCAAATGAACTTTTCCCTTGGACAACTTACTACTTCCAGAATTAGTTACATGTGCCTGCCCCAAAGCTCATGTCTCAGCCATCTTCTTTATAACATTTATGTCAAAGATATCGGCAACTGTTTGGCAGACAACTGCACGCTAAGATAACTTGCAGATGACGGTGTGGTTTCCGTGAGTGGTCCACATGCCGTGGACTTGCAAGGACCATTGTAAGGTTTCTTAGATAACTTGTCTTTTTGGGCTAGGAATCTAGGGATCGAATTCTTGCCGCAGAAAACTGAACTGGTAGTGTTTACTTGAAAGCGGTACCCAGCCCAAATGCAGCTTAATCTTTTGGGCAGAAACATTACTCAATCATTGTCTTTCAAGTACCTTGGAGCCTGGTTTGATTCAAAGTGCACTTGGAATACCCATATTACGTATTTGAAGCAACAATGTCAACAGAGGATCAACTTTCTCCATTCAATTTGCGGCACATAGTGGGGTGCTCATCCGGGAGACCTCATAACGCTTTATAAAACAACTATTCTCTCTGTTCTAGAGTACGGCTCTTTCTGCTTTCTCTCGGCAAGAAAATGTCACCTAATAAAATTGGAATTAAATATGGTTGTCTGGGTATTGCTCTTGGCTGTATGCACTCAACGCATAACATGAGTCTCGAGGTTCTGGCAGGAGTAACACCCTTCCAGAACCGTTTCTGGGAGCTCTCTCTCAGAATACTAATCAAATGCGGAGTGACAAACACACTTATAATTGCAAATTTTGAAGAAATTTTTGAGCTGAACACACAATCTCGATTTATGAGAATCTACCATCTATACATATCCTCAGATATGTGTCTTCCTTGTTATACTCCAGGCTCAATTCACCAATCGCAGTTCCTCAATTGATCTGTCCATGAAACAAGTGATTCATGGGATTCCAGATCAATTTCGAACTATTACTATTGACGCATTTCGCGCCAAATCGAATCGAAGCTGGCAGCACCCTCTCAGATGTCAATAAAATTTTCTGGATGTGTAGACTTTGACTCAATACACAGAAATTCAAAACAACCCAAAATTAAGTTCTTTTCACTCATCTCCCATGTTCCGTACAATAAGCCAAATTTGGGTAAACCGGCTCAAAGTAGTTTGCATTTAAGCACGGCAAAAAAAATTACCCATCGCTAAGTAATTTTCAATTTTTTCTACCCAAAATTAAGTTCAATTAACTCAAATTTGGGTATATCGCATATTACTCAATTTTGGCTTCTTGTACGGAACTAGACGGTTGAGTCGAATCTTTCGTTCTATTTTTGACAACAATAGCGAGAGGAAATGAAACGGACAGAGGTCAAATAACTCAAATTTGAGTTTAAAAAACCCAAGCGGTGGGTAGTTTTGTTTTTCTGTGTAAGCACTTTTGCATACTCAGTTTTTCCAAAATTTATCTAGACTAACATTTGAGAAGGGCCAAACTTTTTCTGCCGATTTTTTTTTTTCAAAAAAATCATCTCAGAACCCAATGAAGCTCCATTTGTGAACCAATTTTGTCTAATCAGCAACTAATCACTTGGATTAATCGAGAATTCCATATGGAAAGAGGTTATATCATTAGAAAATAATATAATTGATTATATTGTCTACTACTGAGGCAAAATCCGATACTCCTATAGCAACTTAGAATTCTAAGCTCAAATTATCCATAAAGAATTTGGTATGAATAAAATTTAAATTGAGATCTTCTTTCGAATCAACAACGATTCGCATCATAATTCTATATGCCCTTCTGTTATTTATACCTAAACCATTAACATTATATACCTACCACTTCATTCTACCCGAGATTCTACCTATGAGCACTATAAAACTAAGGTTGATTTCATACGAGCAGCAGTCAATCTGACAACGAAAGTTGTGAAAACAAGTTGTAGTAAAATTATTATCATGGACCAAAGTAGTAAATTAAGGCTCAAAGGATTGAAATGTTGTGCAAATATAAATAATCCGAGATGCAACCGAAATAAGTTACGGGCCATATCGTCAACGATGGTAGATCATTCTATGGGATATAACCACGAAATTGATGAAACGATGAGCATTTGTGAGTCGCCGTAGCGTGATATATCATAATAGAAGTCCAGTTATGAAAAAACGCCGATCGGTTGGAAATGAAGTAAATATCCAACCGTCAACTAGTGGGCAGCAGCATAGTGATGATCCAGGTCCATCAATGAGTGGCCATCAATCCGTAGATGAGCTAGGTAAGAACAGTCATCCTGATGATTCTATCAACTTTTAACTGCAACCTCCTAATTGCACTTATTAATTATTTTTTCTTCTTCTTTCCTTCAGATGCGGTACCATCGGTTCCATCATTGGAGTCAGTTCCATCAGCAGATGATCTGCAACGTCCATACAATGTTGAGAAGTTTAATGGCTTTGTGGAAACGTTGAATTTATCTCCAATTTCATCGAGGAACATGAGGAGCATGGATTATCGTTCAATAAAATCTCTAGAAATTACACAAGCAGTGCGAAAAAATATATTTGGCCTAGATACAGCAGACATTAGCAAAGTAGAGGCATACGAAGAAATGATTGTGCAGCTAAAGGAGAAGTTCAATTCCCCTACAGCTGACAGAAAAGATCAGATAACAGTATTATCAGTATTGCCAAAGTCTTGGTCCGTGAATAAAGTTGTAGCAGAATTCAACGCACCAACGTACATGGTGAGGCAGGTTAAGAGCCTTGTTAATGAGCAGGGTATTCTAAGCACACCCAACAAAAGAAGTGGGCATGGGATCAACGATGATACAAAAAAACTAGTTAGGGAATTTTTTGATGACAATGATATTAGTAGACCTATGACCTATACCTATGATTTTGTTTCCGAGTTTAGAAATGGACGAAAAGAACACGTTCAAAAACGCCTGTTAATGATGTCCCCAGCCTCAACAGTGGCTGACTACTGATCGTTGTAATTTGGAAACGATTATCAAGCCTGTTGATGAATTTGTTCCGTATCTCATTGATAAAATTAACAAACTTATAACTCATGACTTTATTTACAAACAACAGTCATCTTTTCTAAGAAATAAAAAAGAATCGTTAAAAGAAGGCGAAATTCTAGCAATTTGTGATTTTTCTGAAAATTATTCATTAATTATCCAAAACGCTGCTCAAGGATATCACTGGAATAATTCTCCAGCAACAATACATCCATTTGAAGTTTATTATAAGAAAGACAATAAACTTGAAAATGTTAGCTTCATTATCATATCAGAAGTAATGACTCACGATACAGTTGCAGTTCAGTTGTTCAGCTCAAAAATGATAGATGTTATTAGACAATCGATAGATTTTTCTAAAATTACTTTTATGTCAGATGATGGGTCAGCATCACAATACAAAAAAACTTTTCTAATCTGTAGATTTCAGTCAAAGCATGGATTAGAAGCAGAATGGCATTTTTTTGCAACGTCTCATGGAAAAGGTCCCTGTGATGCCATTGGTGGCACTCTCAAGCGAATGGCAAAGAGAGCTAGTCTTGCTCGAGATTATGGAAACACCATAACAACTCCACGAGAATTATACAACTTGGCAGTTGAACAAACAGATAAAAATATAACAAAACTACGTTTCGATTACATATTAACTGAACAGTACATCGAAATGTCAGAAGAACTCGGAGAACTATATAACAGCACAAAGACAATATCTGACACACAGAAATTCCACAGTTTTGTGCCTACACACTAATCGAGTCAGTACGGTTTTACCGAGTTTTTGAATTGCGGAACTGT